GGAGGAAGTCTGCCAACCACTTCAGGTTGCAGTCGCAGACAAAGGGGTTCTGGGCCAGGTGCCTGCGGCAGGGACAGCAGGTGACCCCCCAACTCCAGCCCCGGATACCCACCGAGGTGCCTCACCCCCAGGCGCCCGCCTGGGCACCGGCGCTGGCGCTCACAGGGTCTGGATGGCTCGCAGGGAGGTGAAGGTGCCCTTGGCCAGGCTCTGGATCTTGTTGTCGTACAGCGAGAGCAGCGAGAGGTTCTGCAGGTCCTGGAAGGCGTCTGCCCGCACGCAGTTGATCTTGTTGGCATTGAGGAGCCTGGCAGGGAGGGAAGGAGGGAGGTGGGGCTGGGCACCCCCTTCACCACACCACAGGGGCCGGGGATCTCAGCCCCACGTCCTGGTGTGCCCGCAGAGCGCCCAGACACCAGCATCTTACAGCAGCTGCAGGGCGAAAAGTCCCCCGAAGACACCCTTGGGGAGGTCTGTGATCTTGTTGCCATATAGCACCCTGGGAGAGAAAGGGCGGCATGAGAGGGATGGAGAGAGCAGTGTGGGGCACGGTTCAGGGGGGCACACCATCTGCCCCACATCACCCCACACACCCCAATACAGGCACTCTGCGGGAGTTCAGTGAGCGCAGCCCCTGGAAGGCATCGGGAGCGATCTCCGAGATCTGGTTGTTGCTCAGGTCTCTGAAATCCAAAGGGAGAAGGTGGTCTGGACCTCTCTCCTCCCAGCTCCTGCCCCCATCCTCCTGCTGGGTGCAGGGGACGACCCCCAGCACCCGATATACAGAGCTGGGGCTATCCGAGACCCCATCCCAGTGCTGCCATGTGGGGTACCCATGTCACGGCATGTGCCCCACACCCATCAGGGTCAGGGGCTGCGGGCTCACAGCAGTGGCTTGCAGTGTGAAGGGTGCTGAGGTTCAGTGCAGGCTGGTGGGGGCTGCACACTTACATCCTCCGCAGTTTCTTGTAGGGGGAGAAGGCGCCTGGGGGGATGGACTTGATGCCATTGAGCTCCAGGCGTCTGCAAAGAGAAGAGGGAGAGATGAGGGCTATGGGGCTGGCTGAGCCCCAGCATCCCACTGACAGGGTTGGGGTGCTGCGAACCCCCCAGGTTTGCAGTAAGCTACCCCACCGGAATGACACCATTCACCCCAGGGACAACCCGCAGCCTGTACTGGGTGCTTTCTCCATCAGGGAGGGGTGCCACGGGTGGGGGGAGCACCTCCTCCCCACCAGCACCCTGAGTCTGGGGGATCCCACTGCCTCCCCTGTGCTCTGTGTGCCATCCCGGTGGTGGCTTTGCTCCATAATTGGATTCCCCTAAGGAGATTATTTCTCTATTTACATCTTTCACGCAGTTAAATCCAGGGCTAAATCTGGGCAGCATGGGAGAAGGGCAAGGCCCTTCTGAGCTGTAGGACTTGCCCCTGTGTCCCCACAGCCTGGAGCCCCCCCGAGCCCGGCAGTGACAGCGTGGGGCTGTACTCACATCTCGGTCATGGTCTCGGGCAGGTTGGCAGGGATGGCCGTCAGCCCCTTGCCCCGACAGTCCACGATGCCGTTGCTGCAAGCACACATGGCCGGGCAGGAGCCAGAGGACAGGCTGCAGAGCTGGGCATGTGCCGGGTCCATTTGTCCTGCCAGGGAAGCAGCCAGCATGGGAGTCACGAAGAACTGGGCCAGGCGGGTGGGTGGCAGCACCCCGAGGGACCCTGGTGACAGCTCGGCGTGCCGGTACAGCTCTGGCACCCTCAAGTGGGTGCACAATGTCCTGGTGTGCCCCAACCCCGTGCAAAAGGCGTGCAGCTCCAAGGGCACAGCCTGATGCACCCTCTGTCACGCTGATAGGGTGGCATTGTCACCATGCTGTCCCCACACCAGGGACAGTGCTGACCTGAGCCGAGCCCACGGCATGCATCCAGGCTCGGAGCTGGGGCATGCAGCAGGGAGTGGAGCTGCGCTGCATTCATGGGTCAGGCTTTGTCCCCCACTGACCTGTGTCCCCGCCCTGGCACCCGCCGCCTCCCCCAGCCCCCTCACCGGAGCAGCTGAACTCATTCTTCTGGATCTCGGCCACGTTGAGGCCGCGGAGCTGGGCCGGAGCAGCGCACTGGGTGAAGAGCCCGATGGTGGGGCGCTGGCGCAGCCACTGTGACAGCCAGGCCAGGTGACAGTCGCAGAAGAGGTGGTTGGAGTGCAGACGGCTGCGGCAGACAGGGCACT